TGGGGGTGTGAGCCACTGCACCCAGCCCAGAAATGTAAATTTAATTACTTATTTTATTTTGTATTTTTGTCTGCTTATTCTAGATAAGTTATTATATAGAGGGAATAATTTCCAGCAGAAAACTGGAAGTATTAATTGTTGTAGAGCAGGAATCCTTGACTTTTTCCTGACTAGAAGTCATGTTGTTTTTTTTCCCAAGTCTTACGATTATTTAGCTGGGTGTGGTGGCTCACGCCTGTAATCGCAGCACTTTGGGAGGTCAAAGGCGGGCAGATCACCTAAGGTCGGGAGTTTGAGACCAGCCTGACCAACATGGCGAAACTCTGTGTCTACTAAAAATACAAAAATTAGCTGGGCATGGTGGTGGGCGCCTGTAATCCCAACTACTCAGGAAGCTGAGGCAAGAGAATAGCTTGAACCTGGGAGGTGGAGGTTGCAGTGAGCTGAGATGGGGCCGTTGCACTCCAGCCTGGGTGACAGAGTGAGACTGTCTCAAAAAAAAAAAAAACGTTATTTAAGGATGTGAACCCCAAGTATCTTAGACAGGTCTCAGCTAATTTAGAAAGTTTATTTTGCCAGAGTTGAGAACACTTAAGAGGTCTTGATGAAGCAACTGCGTTGTCCAGGGTATATCATCTCATGCCAGAAAAATTTAGGACACTGACACACAGGAGGAGTTTAGGAGCAGAGGATTAATGGACAGAAGAAAAGAGAAAGAAAAACAGCTTTCTATTGAGAGAGAGGGGTCTTCCAAGGGAAAAGACTGGCATGTGGTAGATGCCCTGGATTTTATAGTCTAGCGTGAGGAGGTGGTGTCTGATTTACTTAGGGCTCACAGATTGGTTCGATCAGGTATGAAGTTTACATAACATGCAGGGAAGGCTGGTTGCCCCGCCCTAATCTTATTATGCAAATGAACTACCTGCTCCTTACTGTACACATGGCTGGCAGAGAAGAGAAGATGGTGTCTCCATCTTGAACATGTCTAGTCCCTAGTTTCTGCTTATATTCACCTGTGCAAACTCCCAGCTTGCTTGTCTTGTCTGCAAACTCCCAGCTTGCTTGTCTTGTCTGCAGCTTGACTTCACAGACTGCTCTTTGTTAGAAAATGATTTCCAGCCTGGCCAATGTGGTGAAACCCCGTCTCTACTAAAAATACAAAAATTAGCCAGACGTGGTGGCGCTTGCCTATAATACCAGCTACTCCGGAGGCTGAGGCAGGAGAATCTCTTGAACCTGGGAGGCGGAGGTTGCAGTGAGCCGAGATTGCGCCACTGTACTACAGCCTGGGCGACTGAGTGAGACTCCTCTCAAAAAAAAAGAAAAGTTACTCGGGGCTACTTTTCATTAAAAAGAAAAGCTTTACCGAGATCTCTCATACCCCTACTGTGTGCCTACGTGATTTCTTCTTAACTCCTGTATGACTAACAGCATGTGTCCCGGGTGGTCAGAGCACAGCATGGTTTTCTACATTTTAGGGCGACATGAGACATCTGTCAACATATGTAAGATGAATATTGGTTCTGTCCAGAAAGGTGGGACAACTCGAGCAAAGGCAGGGCTACTGGAAGCAGGGAGGGGGCTTCCAGATTACAGGGAGTTTAGAGACAAATGGTTGCATTCTTTTGAGTTTCTGATTAGCCTCTTTAAAGGAGGCAATCAGATATGCTTTTACCTCACTGAGCAGAAGGGTGACTTTGAATAGAATGGGAGGCAGGTTTGCCCTAAGTAGTTTCCAGCTTGACTTTTCCCTTTAGCTTAGTGATTTTGGGGCCCCAAGATTTTCCTTTCAAAAGAGGTAGAAAATGGAGGGTATACAGGTGAGAGAGACTGCAGAAACTGATTATACTAGGCACTAATGGAACGTTGCATACTCTGGCTAAATTCACTGACTTTTCCATGTTAAGCTCTAAGGAAAAGCATGGGATCAGCAGTGTTTGATAGGAAACTGAACTCCTTTTCCCTTCAGTTGGGGATGGAGCAGAGGCGCTTGTCAGCAATACCTAATACCTTCTTCACCAAAACTCTGAGTCTGCATTTGGCAAGCCGTTTCTCCTTTAGCCTTTTCACATGGGAGTGCGAGAAGAGAGTGCCCTTTTCTGCCTTGCTTGTCAAAATCTCATCCTTCAGGCTTTGCCTCTTTAGGAAGTTTCCACCCATTGTAGCAAAAACTATCAGTTATCCACCAAAGTCAACAAAATCCATTTTTCCCTTCTATAGTAGCTGCAGCTGTGATGTCACAGTCCAGCCAGCCGCCTTTGCAGCTGTGTAACCACCATCACAGTTAAGATACAGCATGATTCTGTCACTACAGAGATCCTCATTGTGCTACTCCTTTGTAGTTGCGTGTATTCTCTCCCCTGGCTACCTAATATTTAATGACTTTTTAAAGTTAAAAACATTATTATAGGAAGAGCTGGGTTAGCGTAAAGATAAACCCTATTATGTTCCTGGATGAGAAGACTTAATATCATTCTTACTCCTGAGTGAGGACTAGGGTAGGAATTCTAATTTCTCATGGTTGATTTTTATTGGCACTCCATTCCAATCCTTCTCCATTGCTGAGTCTTGGCACCACTGAGGGGAGTTTTTCCCCAGCTCCTGACTTCACATAGAAAACTCAGTTTGGCCCTTCCAGTGCATACGTTTCTATGTTTTCAGCCAGTGATTCTTATTCTTCCTGCTCCCTTTCAAGCCCCAGGCTTAAAGGTTGCTGTCTATTTTGATACTCCTATGGATCGCCACTCTTCACTTCCTGCTTTTCTTCTAGGTTTATGGCATTTATGTATTTCCCTTTCTTGCTTTTGAATTTGACTGTTTAAACTCTTTTTAAATATTTTGTTTATTTACAATGTTTTTCTTTTCTTTTTTTTCTCACTGTTTTAGAGACAGGGTCTCATTCTTGCTGTGGCTGGATTGCAGTGCTGCCATCATGGCTCACTGCAACCTCTGTCTCCTGAGCTCAAGCAGTCCTCCTGCCTCAGCCTCTTGAGTAGCCAGGATTTCAGGCGTGTGTCACTACAACCAGCAAAATTTTAAAATTTTTTATAGATATGGGGTCTCACTATGTTGTCCACGCTGATCTCGAACTCTGTGTCAAGTGTTCCTCCCACCTTGACCTTCCAAAGTGCTAAACTCTTTAATTAGTTTTGTCTAGAATTTGTATATTTAGAGTAAGGAAGGAATGTTTACTACTCATCAGCTCAGTGTGCCCTTTTTTCTTATTAAAAATTTTAAGCCTACAGAAAAATTGAAAGACTAAAACAATTAAGACCCATATATCCTTCAGCTAGAGTTAACCAGTTTTTTACCATTTTTTCCTTTTGCACACGTCTCTCCCCTTCCCACACATACACTCTCACAAAGTTGCTTTTTTTTCCTTGAATCATTTAAAAGTTAGTTGTAGACAACACAATGCTTCCTCTCTAAACGCTTCAGCAGGCATCCTAAGAGAACAAGTAAGGCATTCTCCTCCAAAATCAGAATGCCATTATTACATCTAAGAAAATGATAATTCAGTGTTATAATCCATATCCAAATTTCTTCTGAGATTGTTCTCAAAATGTTACTTTATGCTGAATGTATGTTTTCTTGTTCCAGAATCAAGTCAGTGCATGACTTGGTTTTTTTTTTTTTTTTTTTTGAGGCAGAGTTTCCCTCTTGTCCAGGCTGGAGTGCAATGGCGGGATCATGGCTCACCACACCTTCCGCCTCCTGGGTTCAAGTGATTCTTCTGACTCAGCCTCCTGAGTAGCTGGGATTACAGGCTTGCACCATCGTGCCCAGCTACTTTTTTGTATTTTTAGTAGAGATGGGGTTTCTCCATGTTGGCTGGGCTGGTCTCGAACTACTGACCTTGTGATCCACCTGCCTAAGCCTCCCAAAGTGCTGGGATTAAAGGTGTGAGCCACCGCACCGGTTGGCACTTGGTTATTTAATGTTTTGTCTGTTCTGGTTGAGAATTATCTTGTTTTTTCCTTTTTAAAAAAAAATCATATTCTTTTTTTTTTTTTTTAAACACGAGGTCTTGCTTTGTCACCTAGGCTAGAATGCAATGGTGCAGTCATAGCTCACTGTAACCTCGAACTTCTAGGCTTAAATGATTCTTCCACCTCAGTCTCTTTCATAACTGCACCACCACACCTGGCTAATTTTTATTTTTATTTTTGTTGAGATGGGACCTTGCTATGTTGTCCAGGCTGCTCTTGAACTTCTGGGCTCAAGCAATCCAATCCTCCACCTCGACCTCCCAAAGTACTGGGATTATAGATGTGAGTCACTGCACCCAGCCACATTTAATATTTTGGAAAGTTCAGATCAGATATAGAATGCCTCACATTCTAGATTTATCATATTGTCTCCCCAGGATTAAATTCAGGCTACATATTTGGGCAAGAATATTGTATGGGTGATGTTTTATTTCTCATTGCATCGTATTGGAAAGTGCATAATGTCAGTTTGTTAAACTGTTGGTGGTACTGAGTTAAATAATTTGGCTAAGTTGATGATTGCCATATCTTCTCATTGTAAACATACGTTTCCTTCTTTGAAATTACCCATTTACCTGTAGACTGATACTCTGAGGGACTGTGAATAGTTTCTTCCCCAATAACCAGTTACTTAATAGTTTAGCATTCATTTTTGATGCTTGTTTGAGTCAGTTACCGTAGTTGGAGTTCAGAACAACTTGACTAGCTGCTTATACACTGTTCATTTATTCATTCCACAGGTATTAATTAAAATGGATACCACATTAGTACATCAGGCTCTATGTGAATTACCAGGAATACATGGTGAACACAGTCTGGTGGGTGCCCTGTGGTACCTACAGTCTGGTGGGAGAGATTGACAATCACACTGAAGTGTATTTATAGATGGTGATAAATTTTTTGTTTTTTGAGATGTAGTCTCAGTCTGTCACCAGGTTGGAATGCAGTGGCACGATCTCGGCTTACTGCAACCTCTGCCTCCTGGGTTCAGGTGATTCTCCTGGGTTGAGCCTCCTGAGTAGCTGGGACTACAGATGCGCAGCACCACGTCCAGCAAATTTTT